TATTTATATGTTTCTTTTTTTTTGATATTTAAAAAACTGACCAATTTGGAATTTATCCTGGTGTATGACATAAGAAATTGATCTTTTTTTCCATCTTTATGCCAACTTCACTTAATAATAACTCCATCTTTTCTCTAGTGATTTGAGATACCACTTACATCATATTCTAACAGGTTTCCTGTCACAAAAAATAAAAATTAAGACTAGTAATCACCTATAAGGAATGCTGGCAAGGGAATTCTTGCATGGTATGGGAGACAGGGCTAGAGGTTCATGATTTTTTTTTTTCCTTTTTGGAGAGATTGAATTATGATACTTGCATCAGTTGGATAATTCACCTTTGGTTGACATGGGTAGAAGTGGGTGTGGTGCTTAATTTTTTTCAAATGGTTTTACCCATTGTTTATAAGTTAGAGATCTAGTATCCTGAGACCATTAATCTGAATCATCATTTGCTTTAATTACTGTGATCTGGTAACAATGACTCATGTGTTTTTATAATGGATATTTCTGAGTTCTAAAATTAAATAAATGACTAAAGACCTTTTACTGCATGAATTTGTAAGATTAATGTTATAATAACAAAATTAAAGTGATATTCATTACAATTCACCTCTTTTCCCAAAGGATTTCTCTTAATAACTTCCCCTCCAAATATAATTTGTCAAATGTTTTCAGTGGAAAACATTTCAAGTTTCAGATTACACAACAAATATTCACACTGACTGTGTATGGAAAAGACCAGCAACATTCAGGAAACTGGGCAGGGCAAAAAAGGTAAGGGGTTGGAGCTATGCAGTGGGTGGGGGAGCTGTTTGAATTTAAGTCTTGTGCTAGGCTTTCTTCCTCTGTAGAATGATTTACAATGCTTGTGGCTATTTTAGTCACATTTGCCACTGTTGGAATACTGTAATCAAAAGTAATGATGACAAAAATTTATACAAAATGGCTGTCCTAGTCAAGAATAGGTTTTTATTATTTATTTATTTTTAAAGGCTGTAGCCTTGCTATGCTGCCCAGGCTGGAGTGCAGTGGCTATTCACAGGTATAATCATAGCTCATTACAGCCTCCAACTCCTGGGTTTAAGCAATCCTCCTGCCTCACCCTCCTGAGCAGCTGGGACTACAGAAGCCCACTGTGCCCAGCTAAGAATAGGTTTTTAGTGCAAATTTATAGCTGTAATAATTTCCATTTTGATCACTGGGTCAGGTCCTGATAGTTATGAACCTTCACAGCTAGAGATCTGGAAATTTTATTTATGGGAGTATAGGAACTTTGCTTTGGCTCTCAACCAAAGAATTACTGTTAGCATGGATCTTAGTCTTTGTGCAGGAGGGGACTTTCAGAGCACAAAGAATATAAATTACTCTCCCAAGCTGGCACTCTACTTTTCAAAGCAGTTTGTCCCTGTGCCTTTATTGCAGAACAGTTTCATATATCCCAGTGAATACCAATTTATTTAATCTAAGGAGTGTAGAATTCTTTTTTATAATACTTATAATATTTTCAAATGAGAAGAATCAAAATGTAAAGGAAACTGCAAACTCTCCTTTACAGAAGAATAGACAGTCAACTGCCTGGGACGCATAGGAACTGTCTGCTGGAAAGTGAAGGGGTAGAATGTATGATCTTTTGCAATACGCTTCTACCTTGTGTGTCCATGAGAAGGATAATGAAGAGGTCTGGGTGATAAATGTAAAACTAATTTAAGAGAACCTATCAAAGAGGCACATGTCATTTCAAAAAGCAAGAACTGTTATTTGAAGTTACCTGACTCATAAAGGCTTTCTGCAGAATGAAGATGGTCTTAAGCAAGTTTTACAATAACCAAATGTTTAGTCTCTTATTTAAAAAAATGCCTATTTTTAAAAAGCTTACTTTCTCTTTTCTCTAGAAGGTTCTCAAAATATGCTGCTGCAAAAGCTGGTATATTCTCTGGTTGCTCCCTCAGAATCTCGCGTGTCAGCCCTTCAAGAAGATTCCCAAATCCTTGAGGAATTCGGTAGTGGGTGTTGGAGAATGGAATCGACATCTCCTTGGGAAGAACTGCCTATGGTACCTAGAGATTCATCAAGGAGTACTGTCTTTAAATTTGTCTTATTTTACTTATATGATCACAACTATGACAAAAAATTATTTCAGCTACCCAAATTTTCTGAACTTCAATTCTTTTTTTCCCCAACACAACCTAAGTACATCCATTTCTGCCAAAGAGTTTTGAGTTCTCTGCTATGAATTAGGATATTACATATACAGACCCATTCAATAGGACAAATCATTTTTTAAAAATTACAAAAAAATTACAATTTTTCAATATGACACTGCTTTTTCTGTTCCTCTTTCTGTCCTTAAAAAGTAAAAGTAATTTTTGCTATCTCGAAGGAATTTAGAGCAAATAATTGTTTAAAAAACTAGTTTAATTGAATTCATTATTGATTGCTGAGAAAACACTGTTTGATGTCTAAAATTTAAAAATATTTTAAGAAGTAGAAATTAGTTCTGGTTCTAGAAATCACTCTAACTTGTTGAATAGAGAAGTTTCACACTTAATCTTTCTCTTGGCTGTCACTTCTGAAGCATGACCCATAATGCCTCGAATAGGGTACTCTGGAATAGGGTTGCTGCCGGGGTGGGCCATGATTTTGAAACCCCAGCCTCTAGAGTTTTGGAATTCTTATATTTTCTGCTTTTGTCTTGATCAGGCCTTCTCTTCCAGTCTTGGGATACAACGGCTAGATTAAGGGTAGCTGCCAAGCAGCGGGTTGGGCTACTGAGTATGAAAAGCATCCTTAGGGACCTGGCCTGTTTCTGACAGTGTCAATGTAGAATAAAAGTGAAAGCCATAGTAGGGGTCCAGGCTGGGGGAATTAGGCCGTTTAATGACGCCTAATTTGTGGAGGGTTTTCTCTCTTTTTCTTTCTTTCTTTCTTTCCTTTCTTCCCCGTAACCCCAGACAGGGGTCTCGCTATGTTGCCCAGGCTGGCTTTGAACTCCTGGCCTCAAGCTATCCTCCTTGCCTCAGCCTCCCGACTAGCTGGGGCTACAGGTGCGTGCCACTGCGTCCGGCTCCTCTTTTTCTTTTTTTGAGGACTTAGGAGATGGGGTACTGAACAGGACTGGTGAGGCCCTGAAGCAATCTGGGGAGTGGAGGGCTGACAGAGGTGGAAGGCAGGTCTAGTCGGGAGAGACGTTGAGAACCTGGGATTTCGGACTCTCGCAGAATGGGCTGTCTCGGCTCCCAGTCTGCCCCAGTGTTCCCAGGGAGTGTCCAGGATGCTGAGAGAATACGAGGGACGAAGGGAAAAGGCGAGATCTGGGTGTTGCAGAGGAAGTGGGGGAAGCCGCCTCACCTCTTCTTTCTCTCCGAGCTGGGGTCGATGCTTCCGGTTGTTTTTCTCGTTGCTGGGTAACCATTTTTTTAAAAAAAACACTACGGCGGCCGAGAAGGAAAAGGGCACTGTCTCGCTCCGCGGCCGCGGGCGGCTTAGAGGGAGGAAGGTCCTGGAAAGGGCGGAGTCGGCCGCCCCCGCCCCGCCCCGGCCGCGTGCGCCCCGCGTGGCTCCGCCCCCCGCCGGAGCCACTTTGCGAGTCCCGCGAAGGTGGCGGATCCTCGCAAGGATGGTTGCGCCGGGACCTGTCCTCGCGCTGGTTCTGCCATTAATCCTGTGCGCCGACAGGAGTGCAGGTGAGGCGGCCCGGCTCGGCCGGACCCCTGCCCCTCGGCCTGTGCGGGCTCCGAGATCCCGCGTCCCCTGCGGGATACCCACCCTGGGCTCCCTCTCCAGGTCGGAGAAGAAACCCGGGCCAGGAGCCTGCTTGTCCGACCCGGGCCTGGCCTGCAAGTGTCTGCTGGGCTGGAGCCCCGGGGCCTGTCTGCTTTCTCCACTCCCACGCACCGTCCTGTTAAGATGCAGCAAATGGGGCAGACGGAAAGTTCGGTTTATCTGAGTGGGAAGGTCCAAATGTACCCAAACCGAGGCCTTCAGGGTCTTAGATTAACTATAGGGGAGCTCTGAGGGAAGGGGGCGAAGCTAGTTAGATAATATTTGGAAACAGGTGACTGAGTCATCCAAAACATTTCAGCGCTGCCCCCTCAGTGGTGCCTTTGGGGAGGGTTTGTTTCAGGCTGGGTTCCTTGGGGGAATTAAATTTTACTAGTTTAAGTGGTTATTAGGGCTAAGAAACACAACCCCCTCACTAGCTCAGAATAGTTAAGGCTCAGCTTTGATTTCTGGTGCAGCTTACAGATATTGGTGGTGAGATCATATGCGTGGCATTGGGGAGGAGGGTGACTGCATTGATTATTATGCAGGTCAGATGCTGTCATTTGAATACCCTAGGCTGGATGGGTCACAGATTGGAGAAACCAGAAGATGGAGTCTGTCTGCTATTGCAAAATAAAGTGATAATGTTAACCTTTTTACTTCTTCTTCAGACCACTCGAAGAGTGGACCCCAAAGATGTCTGTTAAGAAATGAAAGTTGAGGTGGGAGAAATGTGTGCAGAAAAATGGCTGCTGCTCTACCTAAGAACCCCCAAAGTACCCAGATGCAGACAAACTGCAGCCCATAAATGCTTTTTCAGAGTTTAACAAAAGCACAAACAGGTAGCTCTCTGTATGTTCCTTGACTTTCATTCTCACTCAGCGACCTTTGAGATCCATCAAATGAGGTGGGGAGGCCGGGCGCGGTGGCTCACGCCTGTAATCCTAGCACTCTGGGAGGCCGAGGCGGGCGGATTGTTTGAGCTCAGGAGTT